CCCGGACCGCCGCCCGCCGCCGCAGAGAGAAGAACAAGCCAGAGCTGCAGAGCCTGGGAGGCTGCCGGACTGCAAACAGGAGGAGAGGAGCTATGACAGTGAGCAAAATTTAATTGCTTTTTTCTGTGTTTATAACCCTCTGTTTCATGAAATAACACTGCAGGTGTAAGCAGACAGGCTTTGGAAAGGAGACTCGGACCATCTTTGCGCCGCATCTTGGATTTCACGTCCATTGGTTGGAAAGAAAATTCAGCAGCAAAGTTTCTAACCAAGGAGTCATGGACAGTCTGATTACTCGCCGCATGGGAAGACATGGAAATGCACAAAAGCGTGATGCCAAAGAAATGGATTTGCCCCAAAATGTCACACCCATGATGCAGAAGCCCTCCAGATGGCTGTGGACCATCTTGCTGGGCCTCATCCTGTTCATTGCGGCGGTGGTGGCCTGGTGCTACTACACGGTGTCCCTGCGGAAGGCGGAGCGGCTCAAGACGGAGCTGATGGACCTGCGGGCAGACGGCTTCGTCATCAGGAACCAGCACGGGGAGGTGGTCTTCCGGCTGGCCTTCCGCTCGGGCAGCCTTGACCTGGAGTCGTGCTCCAAGGAGGGCGAGATTTTGAGCTGCACGCGGTCGGGCGGGGGGCCGCTCAACTTCTTCATCCAGACGGTGAAGCCCAAGGACACGGTGATGTGCTACCGCGTGCGCTGGGAGGAGCTGGCGGACGGCCCGGCGGTGGAGCACACCATGTTCTGGGAGGACGCCCACTGGTACGGGGGCTCGGAGATGAGCACCCAGCACTGGCCCATCCGTCTGGCTGGCTACCAGGAGCCCGTGCCCTACGTGACGAGCGATGGCTACTCGGTGCCCTTCCACCTGGGCTTCAACGCCACCGAGCGTGCCCTCTTCTTCCAGGCCCGCTACAAGGACTCGCCCTACAAGCCCCCACCGGGGCAGCCGCCCTTCCCCGAGCTCAGCTACCGGGTCTGCGTGGGCTCCGACGTCACCTCCATCCACAAGTACATGGTGCGCAGGTACTTCAACAAGCCCTCCAAGATCCCTGCCGAGAATGCCTTCCGATACCCCATCTGGTCCACCTGGGCCCTCTACAAAAAAGATATTGACCAGGATAAAGTTCTGCATTTTGCAAGAAGCATTAAGAAGTACCATTTTAACTGCAGCCACATTGAAATTGACGACATGTACACGCAAGCCTATGGGGACTTTGACTTTGACCCCGTCAAGTTCCCCAATGTGACAGAGATGTTTGCAAAACTGAGGGAAGATGGGTTTAAGGTCACCCTCTGGACTCACCCTTTCATTCACAGAGATTCCTCCAATTTTGGGGTGGGAATTGAGCGTCAGCTGTTCATCAAGGAGCCGTCTGGGCGGCTGCCGGCCATGGTAGAGTGGTGGAATGGCATTGGGGCCATCCTGGACTTCACCAACCCTGCGGCCCGGGACTGGTTCCAGAGCCACCTGCGCCAGCTCCGCCACAAATACGGCATCTCATCCTTCAAGTTCGACGCAGGTGAGACCAGCTACCTGCCCAAGCAGTTCAGCACCTTCCGCCCGCTCTCAGACCCCAGCATCTGGTCACGGCGCTACACGGAGATGGCCATCCCCTTCTATGAGCTGGCCGAGGTGCGGGTGGGCTACCAGTCACAGAACATCTCCTGCTTCTTCCGCATCATTGACCGCGACTCCGTCTGGGGCTACGAGCTTGGCCTCAAGTCCCTCATCCCCACGGTACTCACCATCAGCATGCTGGGGTACCCATTTGTGCTGCCAGATATGATCGGAGGAAACTTCCTCCCCAACAAGACAGATGGGGCAGTGGAGATCCCCGACCGGGAGCTGTACGTGCGTTGGCTGGAGCTGTCGGCCTTCATGCCCTCCATGCAGTTCTCCATCCCGCCCTGGCTCTACGACAAGGAGGTGGTGGAGATTGCACAGAAGTTCACAGAGCTCCATGAGTCGCTGGTGGCCCCGCTGCTGCTGGAGCTGGCCGGGGAGGTCACTGACACGGGCGACCCCATCATCCGCCCCATCTGGTGGATCTCGCCCCGCGGTGGGCGCAGCTACAAGGGGGAGTTGTTTGAGAAGACTCCAGTGCTGCTCACGGACTATCCCGTTGACCTGGATGAAGTCGCCTATTTCCTCTGGGTTTCCTAACAGACTCCTCCATCAGCTATGTAATGTCCTCAGGGGTTAATGAACCAATGACTTTAATAATGGTTTTTTTAATACTTTTTAAAGTAGTAATATTTCAGAATGAAATTCAAAGATAACACTGTGACCTCTTTTGTGTGGCAAGTGCTTTAGAATAATTTACTCATTAAAATATGTTGGATGGTTGTTTTTATTATTGCAGTGTGACAAATACAACACATAGGAACACAGTCTCTGCTCGTAATCTTTCCCCAGCAAGAAATGCCATGCATGCTTCTGGTTTATAAAGGAAATTACATGGACGCTTTTGTTTCCCAATTTCACAGCTGATCCCTTGAGATATTTATAATTTCATTTACTTAGTGAAGGAGGCAGTTGCAGCGGAGTGCTTTTTTTACCAAAAGCAGTCTGTGATTATCCTGAAGAGGAAGGCACCCAGTTTTCAGCCTGCACCTCAGACGGGTGCTGATGCAGAAGCAAGGGGAGTTTGCATTTCTCACGGCCTGAGCTATCTGAGCAAGGAGAAAGAAGCTATAGCACTTTCTAACACTGTGGCAACCATTTCCCCCCTTTTATTGGAAGAAATTATTGAGAAGCATGCCTGTGGTGTGGATTCAGTCAAGCCTGTAAACATGTGGTAAAATCTCATGGCAGTTGTCGTGGTTTAACCTGGCTGGCAACCTAGCACCATGCAGCTGCTCGCTCACTCCCCCCTCCCTCAGTGGGATGGGGGAGAGAATTGGGAAGGAAAAAAAAAAGTTAGAGCCGTGGGCTGAGATAGAGACAGTTTAATAGGAGAAAATAATAATAATAATAATAATAATAATAATAATAATAATAATAATAATAATAATAATAATAATAATAATAATAATAATAATAATAATAATAATAATAATAATAATAATAATAATAATAATAATAATAATAATAATAATAATAATAATAATAATAATAATAATAATAATGGTAACAGAATATACAGAATATACAAAACGAACGATGCACAATGCAATTGCTCACCACCCACCGATCGATGCCCAGCCCGTCCTGATCTGCAATCAGTCCCCAAGCCGCGATCACTCTTCCCGCAACCGACCGACCAACTCCCCCTGAGCATGACGTTATATGGTATGGAATAGCTCTTTGGCCAGTTTGGGTTAGCTGGCCTAGCTGTGCTCCCTCCCAGCTTGTTATGCACCTGGCCGAGCAGGAGAAGCTGAAAAAGTCCTCGAGTAGTCTGAGCACTACTTGGCAACAGCTGAAAACATCAGTGTGTTATCAACATTCTTCTGGTACTAAATCCAAAACACAGCACTATGCTAGTTACTATGAAGAAAATTAACTCTATCCCAACCGAAACAAGGACAGTGTCCACCCCTTATTCTATACCATTTACGTCATGCTTAGGTCCTACCCTTACAATACATTCCAATTAATCACCACCACTTTCCAATTTTTTGATACATACACAGATAGCGTTCCCTTAGTCTATGGACCATTCTTCTAAAATGTCCATTGGGTTCATTTAGTCCATGGTTTTGGGTTCCATCTTTTGTAACAGTCTTTCAGGGCAGGAAAGATGGGGTCTGGTGTTGGGTTGTTACATGCTGAAGTCAGTTCTGGTTCCATCCGCT